CTTGAAAATCATCATTTAAGCAATTTAAAATAATAAATTTAATTAAATATAATAATTTTTTATATCTAAACTAATAAATATTAAAATACATAATATAAGATAAAAGTTCACCCAAACATGATAATAAGGGAGAACTCAATTTTAAATTAAATTCACTACAATAAATCTTGAATATAATATAAAGTCTCAAATCAAATCTACAACAAAGGCAAATGTCAAATAAATGAAACATCATTACTAATTCATTTGTTTTGGCCTAAATAAGGAGCATCTTCATCAAAATAAGCATTTGACTCCCAGAAGTCATGCTCACTATCACTATATTCAAGTCCATCACCAATTGTTTCTAATTCAATTCCTTCACTAGAACCATCAACTTCTTCACCCACTTGCTCTTCCTCAATACCTTGAAATTGAAATTGTAGAATTATACAACAAAAACAAATGTAAACAAACAAGTCTTAATGGTCTATTCATTAAATGATGTAATGATATAATATATTAAAAATTAAATTAACTAATGACTAACCTTCTTTTTGATTGTTTTGACAAATTGGAATTGCTTCTTGATTATGAATCATATTCTCTAATTTATCATAAACAATAATTGGAGAATCATCTTCTTCTAATATCCAACAATCAACATTGTCTATACTCTCATAATTAATAGGATTAAAGCAAGTCTTCTTCTTGTCATCAATCCTATAATTCAAGATTCTTAGAGATTAGTAAAAGATTCAATTAATAAAGCTTAAGTAGAAAAAAAAAACTATAATTTAAATAAACATAAAATAAAATACCTATTTTTCAAACGCAAATTGTAATGTACATAGACAAGATCATTTAATCTTTGATACTCCAATCTATTTCTTTTCTTGGTATGTGTCCTTTCAAAAACACTCCAATTTCTTTCACAACCCGAAGATGATGTAGTTTGGCTCAAAAGTTTAATAGCCAAAATTTTAAAAGTTGGAGCACTATATCCAAAATATTTCCACCACTCATCTATCAAGAAGACAAGAAATATATAAAATGTTAGAAAATTTATAATTAA